CACATAAAAATAAATAAAGGTATTGTGTCCATCTACAACTAAAAAAATATTTTTTAAAAAATAAGATACATATAGATATAAAATAAAGTTTCCATATAAGAAACTTTCCATCTTCCATTAGGAAGATGACTTAAGTTGTTCATTTTCAAAGTATACTTAAATATATTAAATCTTTCTCCTGACAGAAAAATACATATCTAATACAGTCTAGTATTTTCCCCATACACTTAGATTTAGTATAAATACATGAAACATGCAAAAAAATATTTTGTTGAATGTGTAAAGTAATTGATCACTCTCAGATAAACCTGAAATTCAGTTGTAGCACCGCTGAAATTCCTGAACTAATGGTTACTCTGGTATTCACTTTCTGTGGATATTGTAACAAACTTAGTAGTTTAAAAACAACAGAAATCCATTCTCATAGGAGCCAGAAGTCCAAAGCCAAAGAGTCAACAGGGCTGCGCTCAATCCACAGGTTCTAAAGGAGCCTCCTCTAGCTTGTGGTAGCTGCCTGCATTCTATGGTTGGTAGCTACCTCACCATAACCTCCACCTCCACTGTCACCCTGTCTGCTCTTCAGTGTGCCATATCTTTCTCTAAATCTTTCTTAAGAGAAAACTTTTGATGGCATGTGCAGCCCACCCAGATAATAAATTATCACAATATCCTTAACTTAATCACATCTGTGCAAAAGCCCCTTTTCCATGTAAGGTTCACATTCACGGGTTTTAAGGATTTGACATAGATGCTTTGGGGGATCTTTTCTAAGCCTATCATCCCTACCTAAGTGAGGTGTTTATCCCTGTGAATAATGAGATGAGCCAATTTCACATTATCTCCTGCTAGGATGCCCTGAGAACATTGTATCAACTTAATATTTCTGCCCAAAATGCATAACTTGAATCAAAACATCAGGAAACAATGAGACAACACTCACCTAAGACATGATCTTCCAATATGTCAATGGCATTAGATAAGAAACTTTACAGATCAGAGGAAGGTAAAGAGAAGTTTAAGACTAAAACACAATGTGTGAGCTAGGGCTGCTTCCCAGATCATGGGAAAATTGTTTTTCCTATAATAGACCATTTGTTGAGACAACTGGCAAAACTTGAACATGGAGTACATATTAGATAATAGCACTTATCAACATTAAATTTCCTGAATTTGATAATTATGTGATGGTTATAAAAGTAATAAGAGATAACAGATAAAGTAAATATGATAAAATATTAAAAACAAATAAATTTAGGGTAGAAGGTACATGGCTATTCATTAAACTACTACTAAAACTTTGCTGCTGGGATGATTTTTTAAATAAAAACTGAAAATTTATGACCTTCAAATGAAGCAAACATGTATTAACAGCAAATAACTCACATTCCCATTTAAAAAAAATACTTTACCTAATAATTTTTTAGAAAAAGAGAAAAAAAAAACAGATACAATGTGACATTCTCCAGTCTTCTGGCCATTCGCTGCTAAAGAGCAGCTGAGAAGGGTATTTTCCTACTTGACCAGAGTCAAGGAAAGCTCAGAGAAAACAAGAAATCCACATTAAGCCGGGCGTGTGGCACATGCGTATAATCCTAGCAACTTGGAACCCTGAGGCAGGAGGATTACAAGTTCATAGCCAGCCTCAGCAACTTAGCAAAGCCCTAAAAAACTGAGGAAGACCCTGCCTCTAAATAAAATATAAAAGGTAGGTGGGGATGTGGCTCAGTGGTCAAGCACCCATGGGTTCAATTTCCGGTACCAAAAAAAAAATAATAATAAAAAAGAAAAGAAACCCATATTAAATTATACATTACACTCATGTACAGGGACAAAGAATCATTTCTTGTCAAAAAGGAAATAAAATGATTCAAAGAGGGAAGCTAAGTGCTTATCCTTTTGAGTACCCCACAGAAGGAAAACAGAATATCACTAAACCAGAATGCCTGGCAATGACATCCTCATAATGTCTTTCCAAAACCAGATTGAGGCATATGAAACAGATAGCATATAGGGGAAACCACATTTTAACCACAAAGACTCACTAAGCAATATTGAATACAAAAGGAAGATTATTATTCTAATTTTTAAAACAGAAAGAACAATGTGAGGCCACAGGTTCAATTACCAATACTGAGGTGGGAGGGTGGGAGGAACAGATTGGGGCCCTTTCTTAAAAAAAAATGAGGGAGGTAAAACACTTCCCTCTTCTCATAATAAGCACAAAAAATTGTAGTGTGGAGTTGGCAAATAATGATCAATGGAAAGGAGACATAGTTTCTTTCCCTTCTGTCCTTTACTGGCAAATTTGATCTTATACATGTAAGAACAATATAGTACAAAGGAATCTAAAGACAAGACAATAAACTGAAACTTTAAGAAAAAAATGTTGAAAAGTATGGGTCTTAAAAAAAACCTTTCCCAAACATAACTGAAAACTTACCTTCTGAGACAGGAAAAACTTCAGCTATTGAACCTAAAATGGATAAAGCTGAAAATCTACTTGAGTAGGATGATCCAGGAAATAATGCTTCAAAAAGACTGTTGCAAATGGATGACATGAAATTCTAAAAAAAAAATTTACAGTAAGCATAACTGAGTTCACTCACAATAGGTTATCTTTAAAGTATCACCTTCAAGAATGGGTGTTTCTTTCATTTTTAATTAAAATATTTCTAAAACTAATACTGGTTGTTCACGTCTCTAAATAATTCAGCTTGGCATAGACTATGATTTGGATACAGCTTGTCACCCAAAGGTTCATGTGCTTCAAGCAAAGCCCCCAATGTGGTGATGTTGAGATGGCAGTACCCTCAAGAGGCAAGGCCTACTCAGGGCTCCACCCTACTGAATGGATTAAAGCTCTCTCCCAAGAATGTCAAGTCTTATAGGACTAAATTAGTTTCTATGAGAATGAGTTTGTTATATACAAATTCAACTTTCCTGGCTTGCTCTCTTGCTTTCACTCTTTCACACACGTGTTGCTTCTACTCTGTGCAAGCTTTCTGCCATATTGTGACACAGCCAAAGAGTCCTTGCCGGATGTCATTACTGTGATGTTTGAACCTTCTAGCTACCAAACTCTTTTCTTTCTCAAGTATCCAGCCACAAGTAGTATGTTATAGCAAAACAAAACAGACTGAGACAATACCTATGATCATCAGCTATAATATGATTTAATGAACCTATCTTAGCAGAGTCAACAAGAAATACAATTCCTATTATAGCTCAGACAAGTAAAAACATATTTTTGGTGAAAGCAAGATCTATTCAGCTCTTGATTTGTGACAGAGCTGTATGAATATTGATTTTCCTAACCAGAGGCATTCAGGTGTCGAAGGTATGAATACTTTTTAATGTTTTAAAATAAAGAAATACCCAATAGAGACTACTTGATAAGTTTGGCTATAATATAATTCATTCAAAGATCCAACTATTCCATTGTCTTCTTCTGCCTGGCCCTTTGAGACTCCTGCTCTACTATTCTGTTTATACAAATGATTAAAAATGAAAGCTTATAATAAAATGCAATTTTGAAAAAGCAAAGTGGAATATACTTAGTCCAGGATAAACTCTTTTTCTCTAATTAAAATAATAATGATAATAGTTTCTACATAAGATAAAGAGAAAAATTATAAAGAATGACTATGAGTCTCAAGCATCCTGTTACTATGGCACCCTAATCAGCACACAGGCAGCCCTGGTTCCAAATGGCTCAAGACAAGAGTCAAGAATGAAAAAATCCCTGCATTTTTCTGGTGGGCATACAGCCTCAAGAATTTATCCTTTAAGCCCTCACGAGCCCTGTTTACTCGCCTATTAATGATTCTGGGCTTCAAAGGAGTAGGGTGTTTACCAAAAAATATCCTAGTTAAATTAACTTTAAGTAATACAGCCTTCACATTAAAGAACCACAAACTTGTCTTTTAAGAGTTATCTTACCCTAAATGTATTGTCATTTACATTCTTAGATACAGTTCTTTCCCTCAATCATACTGTAACCATAATGAAGACAGAGACCACATATATACACTAGGATCCCTAGTCCTGAGCACAGCATCCTACATTTCAGGTGGAGCTCAATATATGCCCTAGTCTCTTTTAATGCTTCTAAGTGAGGCTTCCAAACACCTTGGCCTTCCATGGAAAACTCTCTACACTCAACTTGATTTTATAAACTCTTTCCCCATTACTCAACTCCTCCATTCCTCCAAATCTTAAGTCATTTACACCAGAGAATTCACCATTCCCCAAGTTCTCCCTCTTTTTTCACCGCCATACATTCACTTAAGCTAGTCTCATGGAAAAAAATACTGAGATGTTTCAGTCAAAAGCAGATCCGAGGGGCTGGGGTTGTGGCTCAGTGGTAGAGTGCTTGCCCAGCATGCACGAGGCATTGGGTTCAATCCTCAGCACCACATAAGTGTTAAATAATGATATTGTTTCCACCTAAAACTTAAGAATAAATATATTTTTTAAAAAAAAGCAGATCTGGTTTGGGCCCTAGCTCTACTCACTCACTGGTTGAGGGATGTTGGGCAGGTTACTGAACTTCACTGAGTTTCAGTTTTCTCACTTCTTAAATGGGGATAATGCTTACCCCACAGCCTTTTTATTAAAGATGAAATGAGAAAATGGATATAAAGCATTTTATAAAAATAAAAGTACTCTAGGGCTGGAGTTGTAGCTCAGTGGTAAAGTGCTTGCCTGGCACGTGTGAGGCACTAGGTTCAATTCTCAGCACTGCACATAAATAAATAAATATAAAGGTCCATCAACATTGAAAATATATTTAAAATTTTGTTATTAATACTAATTATTAAGGTATAAAATCATCTCCATTAGCCTAGAAGGCATTTTTTCAACTAATAGCTTCCTGTCCTCCCCAGCACTTTGTGTACAACAGCCATTTTTATGAGGATGATGACAACATAGTGCCATTGCCACAGCCTCTAGAAGCAACAGGAGACTACCAGTCAGGAGAAAAGATCATAACCACAAGATTGACTCAGATTAAGTCTCTAAGAACCAATGTTCAGAAAATACATATCCTTAAGCTCAAACCAAGAAACCATGAATACATTAAATTTCAGAACCTCAATCCAAAAAACAAGTTGTATGTTTTACATACTTGAGATTTCACAAATGTCATTTTAACCCTTGTGGAAAGAAGCAAAAGAGATGTGTTTTCTTTAAATCTAGCAGTTCTGAGAAGCTAACCAAAAACTGTCACACACACGGTAGGGCTCCACATATACTCTAAGTCATTTTTAATGACTCCCACTGAGGCTTTTTAGAGTGATTTATAGTTTATAAAGGGCTTTCTCACTTAGTCCTCAAAGCCAACCTTTTCAGAGGAGTTACTAATCCCAATTACAGTGGAAGAGACTCAAGGCACTCAGCTAGTAACAGCAGAAGTGGGACTCATCTTACATCCTTAATGTTCAGGCTATGATTTTCTAATCTTTACTGTTGGGATTGTAAGATGATGAAGCTGATTTCAGCCTTTATATGAGAAAAGCCTTCATTGAATGGGATTTTATCTTTTAAATGTAAAATTAAAAACCAAGACCATCCATACTAATCCTTAGAGTAGGTAGAGGGTATGCCATAGTTCAAATGTATCATTAATTTATTACACCTGTTCCTCTAAACAAACTAAAATGGAAACAGATGAGGTCTACCTTCTCTCCCACCACCATTGTTTTTTCTTATTAGCTCTGTCTTTGATTTTAACCTTAGGAGAAAATAAAGGTCTGCTTCTGAAAGGCTAGATTTTCAGTAGAACAGAATATTCTGCTGAAAATAAATTGAAGATTGTTAAATTGAGCCGTGGTCCAGACCAGAGCTGTTGTACTTGGGACTCCATCCTTCCCATTAATGCTATGCCCTGAAGTAGCTCTACTCTCCAAGCTCACTTGAACAAATAGACACTACCTCCTTCCACTGCTGAACTATGGGAAAGGGGTCAGTAATGTCAAGCTACTGAATGTCATGTCAGCCTCAAGAGGAAGAAGGCTCAGCCACAGTAGCCTCCTACCCTGGGGAGGCCTGGAGAAGTCCAGAGCCAGCAATTACCTGCTTGTTAAAGTACTAATTTCACCTGGCCCACATAAGCTGTAAGGTGAGCCTTACTGAGGTGAGCCCATTAATGTCATCCTCTAGCAGTCCTCATGTGCAGCCTGGTCCCCGAGTCATGTGCTACCTTTCCTGGAGTACCAAAGCACCAGAAGAAATATGTAACACCCAGCTTGAAGGAAAAAGCACAGGAACACAATTCACCAAGAGAATTCCATTTGTTTCCCTCTAATGCTTATGTACAATTATTTTAGGTTTCTTAAAACTCTAGATCTGGAAAGATATCACCTACCTTATACAATTGTAAGGAAACAGAAGGCTCTTCTTTGGCTAACTCATTCTCTGGTTCATGTTTGGATTTACTTTGCTGCAATTTGTAAAGTACTTGGGAACTTTCCTGTATCCTACAAAACAACTTTGGAGACAAAAAATAAAAATAAAAAGCATCTTTGAACTTCACATTAAACTAAACTGTCAGCCCTGGAAGGGAACATCTAAGGCAAACAGAGTACTGGTTTTTAAACTCTCAAAATCTACAGTATTTCTTTTTGACAAAAAATTAACATTTACATTTTAAAACCAAAGTCAGTATTAGTGCAACTAGAATACAGCCATTAAACCACAGTTCTTACATTTTCCTTTAAGTCAACATGAATCTAAAGACTATATACTCATTTCTATACCAATTCTTCACCCCATGGATGTGTTGTGTGATGAATTCAAATTCAATTATTCAAAAATGCCCATTTTGTGAGATGCTTAGAGAACTATAAAAATGCAAGTGCTTCGCTCCTCCATTTACCAAAGTTTTTTTAAAACTACCTTACATTCCAAGAGCCCAAACACAAGATTTTTTTCTATCAAAAAAAGAGGACAAGGGGTTGGGGTTGTAGCTCAGTGGTATAGCACTTGCCTAGATGTGTGAGGCATTTAGTTTAATCCTCAGCACCACATAAAAGTAAATAAAAGGCTTAAAAAAAAACCTTCAGTTTTGCTACCCCAAAATGAACGGTCTTTTTACTCTAGATTTTAATACCACATGTAAGCTTTATAATATCACAGAGCAAGTCACAGAAGGACCAAGAAGAGGTACCCCAATCCCTTTATCATTCCCACACTCTCCCAAATCTGGGCTCTTCCTCAAAACAATATCCAGAGCAAAGTTCACCACTTTCTAATGCTCAATTCTACCTTTTTAAGAAGAGAACAAATCTGCTGCCGCACTCCTGGAGACTGGCTGTTAAGATTGTATGTGATAAAGAATTGAATCCACTCTGTTTCTTCTGTGGAAACAATTTCTGTGCTCTGATTACTTTCACAAAGCAAGCCTAATGTATCTATCCGTACCTAAAATACCAAGTAATGAAATGTTAATTTTTCATTGAGATAAGGAAAGCCTAAACCACTTGAAATGTCTAATTATTTGCACAGGCCATCAACAAAAATAAAACTAAATTTAACCATATGTAACTTGCAAAAATCCTGTAGCTCTTTTCTATTAATTTATCTTATTGTATGAATTGGAGATACATAAAAATCAACAATCTCCAGTTTTATTCCATGGCAATGCTCAGCTTCATACTTTCTGTCTCAGTGACCACTTTACCCTAGGACCACCTTACCTCACACTCACACTACTGTCATGCACTTCTAACTAGTCTCCTGGTTTGTTTTTGCTCTCACTCTGGAAACTCATCTCTGTTTCCATTAATGCCACTTTCTTGCTGAAGACAGAGTGGCTGTGGCTGAAAGACTTCATTTAACTGGTGACTGGGAAGTAATGAAGTCATCAGCCTGGCATTGGAGCTGTCTATAAAATAGACAAAACAGTCTCTTTCTGCCAGACAACATCCTTAATTCTCCTCCAGGTCTTGTCTATCTGTCGTTCTGCTCCAATATTTTACTTTTCTTATCAGCCACCTCTGATTAGTCTCTTCTGAGCCTCCTAGATAAGTCCTCATGCATAAGGCATATTTGAATCTATGTTATTTTCTCAGATTTCACAAGGCTTTCTCGTCTCTCAACTAGATAGCCGAGTACAAGGATGACACTTTTCACTTTCTGTTCATCCTCATTATAGACTCCCTAAAACAGTGCTATGCTCAATGTAGGAGCCTCTATATTGGGACTGAAAGAATCAGGGTCCTGTACAAATCCCCAGGTATTTTGTTTCCTTACTTGGCAGTGCTGATGAACTAAAACTTGCTTCACTCTTGCACTAGACACAAGGTTCTTCCAGGCATCAGTAGCAGACTGCAGATGTCCATGAGCTCTAGCTGTTCGCAAGCATGCCATCAAAGCTCCCAAAGCCCCTATGCTATCACAAGACCCTAAGGATGGAAGAGATTGTCCCAAAAGCACACTAACAAAGACTACGACAGTGTTATGCAATGACTACTGCAATTTTCAGTTGTTAATGTTAATGTTTCCAATTAAAGTTATGTTTTCAGAAATAAAAATAAAATTTTACATAAATTCTAACATGAATTAAAGTTCCTAAAGTAATCCTTATTTTAAAATTATTTAATTGCTCTTGAGTCAATAATTTCAAAGTAAGCATAATTTTCATACTGTTAACATAAAGAAATCGTAACTTTTTTGCTAATATTTTTACTTTTTCCTTGATACTTAGAAAGTGAACCAGGAAATAAGTCAGGGGAAAAAAGTGAAATACAATAACAAACTAGAACAATTTTCTGCCAAAAATAGGAAAAACCTTCAGTGACTAAAAGGTCATTGTGTCTTTAAAAGCAAACACTGACCTTCTTTGCACATTTCAGATTTACTGTTTCTCACTAATAAAGATAAAAGGAAAATCACAAAGAACCTATTGGTATCAGAGGTTAAGACACTGGCCATTACTAAGGGGACAGCAAGTTCTGGCGTACCTTGATATCAAAAGAAAGACAGCCTTGTTTCAGAACAGATTCAGAGGGTTTTTCTCAAAAAGGCAAGGAAAACTGTTGTTAAAAATTATAAACAAATGCACAAGGCCCTGGGTTTGATCCCCAGTATCAAAAAGGGAAAAAAAAGCTTAGACCTAAAGGAAGCCAGGCACAGTGGCACACACCTAGGGTCCCAGCTATTTGGGAAGATTGAGGAAGCATGATGGCTTGAGCCTAGGAGATCAAGGCCAGCCTGAGCAACATGTGAGACCTTCCAAAAATTTTTTTAAATTACAAATAATGGCTTATTTTTATATGCAGAAATCAAAAGTCTTTAACTTTTAGTTGAAAATACTGTTTAAATTATGCAGGATATGCTGTTAGAGTATTATCATTTTAAGATTTGTATAATGAACCATGATCATCATTTTCCATATTATTTACTGAAATATGCTTTATTGCAGTATTTCCTTCAGTGTCTGAGTTTTGATGGAATATTTACCCCTATTTTAAAGGACTACAAATAGTTCTTTCTTTAGGTTATGACTCCAAATATTGTCTCTCTCCCAGAGACAAAAACTGCTTCTACCAATGTACCTGTCTTTCAACTTGCCTAAAACAATTTTTAATTACTGTCTCAATCACTTAAATAAGCAAATTATATAAAGCAAACATATTTTTATTCCAATAACAAGAAAAAACTTGGTAAAATAAATTAAAACCTTATAATTAAGGAAACTTATCCAGTTTCTGTAACTAGAATAACTCCTTAATTTGTACAAATGACTTAAGTCAAAAACTGCATTCAGCATTGTACAGCAATACTCATCTCAACCTAAAATAGCTTTCCTATAGTTCATAAAGTGATAATATTTAAATTGGAATATAGTCAACATCTGCCAAGGTGCCTATATTTAAGCATCATAATAAAAATAACTAAGACAAATAATTAAATATCAATGGGCTGGGGATGTGGCTCAAGTGGTAGCGCGCTCGCCTGTCATGCATGAGGCCCAGGTTCGATCCTCAGCACCACATACAAACAAAGATGTTGTGTCTGCCGAAAATTAAAAAATAAATATTAAAAATTCTCTCTCTCTCTCTCTCTCT